CCCGCATTCCTTATGGTGCTTGGTGAGTGTCTTCCCCCACTTCGTCTGGTCCATGATTTCTCCCCCCGGTGTGCCCACTGCCCTGGGGGCCATGGTGTGTGTAGCAGGGCCGGGACTATATTGTGGGCAGCAGGGGTGAGGGGTCAGCCAGAGCCAGGGTGCACCGAAGCCCCAGCCGCGTGCCGGATCCGAGCCAACCCGGCACTCACCTGCCTCTCTCTCCTTTGCTGCCAGTTCCCCCTGAAGACCCGGTGATCGACGGGGCCCCCGAGATCCTGCTGCGGGCAGGCACCCCGTACAACCTGACGTGCCGGGCTCGCAGCGCCAAGCCCGCCGCCACCATCGTCTGGTTCCGGGACGGGCTGCAGCAGGAAGATGCCAGCACCAGCACGGTACAGAGCCTGGCCTGCCCGGCCTTTGCCGTTCCCCACGAGCTAGAAGATGCCGAGGGTGGGGAGAGAAGGCAGGTGGATCCCTCCTGCCCTGGGGAGGCGGAGCGGGGTGGCTGGCTCTGTTCGAAACTCCTGCAGGAAGGACGCAGGAGAGCATCCATGAAACAAGTTGGAGAGGTCTCAGTCCAGCCCAGGGGAGCGAACAGTGACCACCTGTCCCCGTTGGCCCTCATTAGCTGTTGGCCCTCGTTAGCACGTGGCCTGAGGACGGAACAGGTTCCCCTCCCACCCCGGAGGTGGACGTCCCACTGGGAATACTGGGGCATCTCACCCCTCCCACTGCACCTGCTCTGGGTGTGTGCGGATGGCTCACGCCCCAGGGCTGTCACCGGATCCTTGTTAATTCCCGGAAGGAAACACCGTCCCTTCCCCTCTCCCACTGCCTCTTTAATTGATTTGATTCGTTTTCCTTTCCCCTGAGAGAGCCGGGCGCACTTTCCAAGAGCACTTGAGAGCCAAATGTCCCGCTCATTAATCCCCACACGGTTTATGGCGCGAGAACATGAATCCCGATGAATTTGTGGGGCGTTTTATGGGCATGTCACAGGCCATTCGGGGAGTGCCGTTCCAGGCGAATTTGGAAACCATTCACTGCAGCGTTAGCGCTCACCAGCCTGGCTCCGACCCCCCGGGGAAGTCTGGCCCACCGAGATTCTCCCCAGCAGTGGCATCATCGGAGAGTTTGGGGTTGTTTTTTTTCAGTGAGGGAGTACAGTCTAGTGGTTACAGCAGGACACCGGGGTCCTCTCCGCAGCCTTGAGAGAGGAGTGGGGTCTAGTGGTTAGAGCGGGTGGGGACTGGGAGCCAGGACACCTCAGTTCTCTCCCCAGCTCTGGGAGGGGAGTGGGGTCTAGTGGTTAGAGCAGCAAAATAGAAATTAAGGCTCCTGGTTCTTCTCCCTGGCCTGGGCTGGAGCCTAAGGCTGGTGGTCAGAGCCGGGGGAAGGGAGTCCGGGCTCGTGGACTCCATGCCTGGCTCTGCCACTGACACGCCGTGTGGTCTTGTGCATGTCCCTTGCCCTCTAAGTTTCTCCACCTGGGCAATAGGAAGGAACAGCATCCAGGGCCCCCATTCTGCCAGCCCTGTGGTTTGATCTTCCCCTCTTCCCCACGGGCAGGAAGTGTTAGCAGACGGCAAGAGGGAAACCACCGTTAGCCAGCTCCTCATCAACCCCACAGACGCGGACATCGGGCGGGTCTTTGTCTGCCGGAGCACCAACGACGCCATCCTGGCCGGCAAGGAGACCTCCGTCAAGCTGAACGTGCACCGTGAGTCCAGCCCCTGCCCCGCTGCTGGGCTCCAGGGCCCAGCTGGACGGCACGTGCGGGAGCAATGGGAACGGGGCCTGGTTCCCCACATCCCCTCCCCTTGTCAGTTACACCAGCGTGCAGTGGGTGCAAAACACTGCCATTTACACCTACTGGGGTAAACGACCAGGTGAGGGGCCGGGGGCAGCCCACAGGAGGCCGTGTCTGCACTGGGCAAGGAATCCACCCCAGGGCACTGATCACATCCAGTGCTTGGCTCATAGATAGAGGGGTGTGTAGGAGGATGGATAGATAGATATGGGGTGTCTATGGATGGATGGATAGAGGGGGTGTCTGTGATGGTGGATGGATGGATGGAGGGACAGAGGGGGTGTCTGGGGATGGAGGGACAGAGAGGGGGTGTCTGGGGATGGATGGATGGATGGATAGAGGGAGGTGTCTGGGATGGTGGATGAATGGACAGATGGGGTATCTGGGGATGGATGGATGGATAGAGGGGGGTGTCTGGGATGGTGGATTGATGGATGGACAGATGGGGTGTCTGGGGATGGAGGGACAGAGAGGGGGTGTCTGGGGATGGATGGATGGATAGAGGGGGGTGTCTGGGATGGGGGATGGATGGACAGATGGGGTATCTGGGGATGGATGGACAGAGAGGGGGTGTCTGGGGATGGATAGAGGGCAGAGAGGGGGTGTCTGGGGATCAGGGCCGGCTCCAGGGTTTTGCCCGCGCCAAGCAGCCAAAAAATAAATTTTAAAAAAGCTGCAATCGCGATCTGCGGCGGCAATTCGGCGGAAGGTCCTTCGCTCCGAGCAGGAGTGAGGGCCATCCGCCGAATTGCCGCCGAATAGCTGGACCTGCTGCCCCTCTCCGGAGGGGCTGCCCCAAGCACCTGCTTGCCAAGCTGGTGCCTGGAGCCGGCCCTGCTGGGGATGGATAGATGGATAGAGGGGGGTGTCTGGGGATGGATGGATGGATGGACAGATGGGGTATTTGGGGATGGATGGACAGACGGACAGACAGAGTGGGGGTGTCTGGAGATGGAGGGTGGACGGGGTACCAGGGCACGAGGCCACCCTACTCGAGAGGGCACAAACAGCCGCCTGGGTTCGATACCCCGGCTCCCCGAAATCGGGCAGCCCGACGCCTGCAGAGCTCACCCCAGGGAGTGGGGTCTAGTGGATGGAGCGCAGGACTGGGACTCAGGAGATGGGGGTTTCCAGGTCTGCCACTCATCGGCTTGGGCAAGTCTCTGCCGGCCACCCGTGGAGCGGGGATGGCGCTGACCTGCCATGCGGGGCTGGCTCCGGCCAGCGTTCGCCACTCAGGATTTCCCAGCTGGGTCTGTGCAGCCCGGCACTGACACCCAGTGGCTGCTGTGGGGAATCACAGCTCTCACGGGACCCGAGTATGGCACTGACCAGAGGAGGCTGATCCACAAACTGTCCATTGAGCTTCTCCTGCAGCTCCCCCCGGCCCTGCTGTCCTCCGGGGAGAGGCGCTGAACTACGACCCTGCCCGCCGGCTCATGGGGTCAGCGGGGTCACGGCCAGAAAGCACCATCAGGCTCGGCCAGCCTGGACCTCCTGCAGAGCTCATCCAGGGCTTCCCGGACCCAGCCCAGCGTCTGACTGAGCGAGGCCTGGCCTGTGGACAGAGATGCCCAGCGTTGATTTAAAGACCCCCGCCCCAGCCCGGGAAAATCCACCCCGTTGCTCACTGGGCTGGCAGAACAAGCAGCTCCCTGCGCCAGGCTCCACCCGGGGGCCTTTTCTGTCCCCGAGTCAGTTTCCTTCCCGGGCGTCGTGCCACTGACGGCTGTCTCCATCTCTCCCTGGCAGATCCCCCCACGGTCACCCTCTCCATCCAGCCCCAGACGGTGCAGGAAGGCGAGCGGGTCGTCTTCACCTGCGTGGCCACTGCCAACCCGGAGATCAGAGGCTACAGGTGAGGGGCGCAGGTGGAACCAGCTGGGATATAATTAAAGGGAAGGCCCTGGGTTAACCTGCTCCTGAATCCGGGTTCCCACTAGCATCACAGCACTCGGCTTCAGCCCCTAGTGCCTCCACTCTCCCCCGTGGATTCGAACCATTCACTGATGGGTTACACAGCTCCATAGCCCATCATCAACCCGCTGAGCCGCCTCCCTCCTGGGGGGAGGAGCCTCTCTCTGTGTCTGCCCTGCCCTTCCCCCCGGGGGAGGAGCCTATCATCATGTCCGCCCTCCCCTCCCCCCCCAGGGGGAGGAGCCTCTCATTGTCTGCCCTCCCTCCCCCCCAGGTGGGCCAAAGGTGGCGTGATCATCGAAGAAGCCAAGGACAGCAAGTACGAGACGCAGGTGGATTATTCCTTCTTCACGGAGCCCGTCTCGTGCGAGGTGCACAATGACGTGGGAAGCACCAACGTCAGCACCCTGGTGGACGTGCACTGTGAGTGCCACGGGGGGGCGATGCGCCCCACTGCTCGGCCTGGGCGGAGACGAGACGGGGCTGTGGTGGCTGGAAGGGGGGGCTCTGCGGAGAGGCAGCTGGGCACAGGCAGAGCCTGGGGTGCTCGCTGGCTCCCCGGCACAGACCATCCCGCTGCCTGAGCCCCTCAAGCTGTGCCTGAGCAGTCAGGGGCTGCAGGCTAGTGGGAGCCATGAGCGCACGGGGACACACGGACACGCTCACACACGAGCC